TTTTTTTTTAGAGACAGAGTCTCACTTTATCACCCTTGGTAGAGTGCTGTGGCATCATAGCTCACAGCAACCTCCAACTCCTGGGCTTAGGCAATTCTCCTGCCTCAGCCTCCCAAGTAGCTGAGGACTACAGGTGCCCACCACAACGCCTGGCTATTTTTTTGTTGCAGTTTGGCCGGGGCCGGGTTTGAACCTGCCACCCTCAGTATATGGGGCTGGTGCCCTACCCACTGAGCCACAGGTGCTGCCCCAGAATATATAGTTTTTCTAGGTTTTCTTTGAGCCAGAATCTCACTCTGTCACCCTGGGTAGAATGCTATGGCATCATTATAGCTCACAGTAACCTCAAACTCTTGGGCTCCAGTGCTCCTCTTGCCTCAGTGTCTTGAGTATTTGGGACCACAGATGCCTTCTACAATGCTTGTCTACTTTTTCTATTTTTTGTAGAGATGGGAGCCTCATTCTTGCTCAGGCTGGTCTCAAACTCCTGAGCTCAAGTGATCTACGCGTCTTGATTCTCGAGAATCACAGGTGTGAGCCACCATGCCCGGCTGGGTATATAGTATGAGAAGAAGCTTCCTGAAGAAGTACCACTTGAACTGAGATCTGAAGAATGAGTAGACATTTGCTGGGCAAAGATAGAGAAGAAAGGTGGAGGGAAAGAAAGAGTAGTCCAGGCGGAGAGACTAGCATGTATATAGTTCCTGAGTAAGACAGTGCAGAGAATATTAAAGGAAGAGAAAGGGAATGTGAGTTTGAAACTTGAGTTTGAAAAAGCAGGCAGAAAGAGATTTTGCAGGGCGTAAGGAGTCTGTTTTTTACTATAGGAACAATAGGGAGGAACCAAAGGGTTTTAAACTAGGGAATGCCATGATCAGAGGTATGTTGGGTTCAAAGCAAGATGGATCCAGGGAAGCTATATTGGAGGTTCTCCTTCAAGGTCCTATGGAAACACTGCCACTTCTCTTCAGCCTTCTGTGGGTTCTGCCTCAGCACTGATCACAACTTATCACCACCACCTGCTTAGTTTGTAGCCCCCACCACATGGAGACTATTTACCCTTGTACCTTCAACACCTGCACAGCAATGGCTCCTGTCAGGCCAATGGTGGTTGTTGAGTGAAAGGTTGGTTGAACAAGCAATAAAGCCAGTTTCACCCAAATCTAATTTCCTAAAATTCTTAAAAATGAGTCATAGCTCAGGGGAAAACCCAGCATTGGAGCTGAGGATGACAGATGGTCAGTGCCTTACTCGTCCTGGTAAACGGATTTTAATAAAATCAACATCTGCTGTGTGGTAATTATTGCTTTCCTATCTTTCCTTTGAGACCTTCTCAGACAGTTTGAGTCTAATTACCAGAAACTGCAGACAGTTTCATCTCTACCCTTTTTTGTTGATGATCAAATGTTAGTAAACTACTTCTAAATGAAACAAAAACTCATGTTCTTTGTGTCTGAATCTGTCCTTACAGACCATGTTGCTTTCCTGGGCTTGTCTCCAGGCTCCAAGACTGGCAGCTGCTTCATGGTGTCCTATGCATAAGAAAGAAAGGCACTTTTTAGACATTTATAGCTGTTAGTTGCCTAAGACAGAGGACAAATAAGGTTACCCTCGCTTTAAAACCTTTTCTATTAAATGTACCAATTTCTAGGGCCCAATTAATTTGCATAAGCATCACCAGCCTTTTCATATAATCTTATAATTGGGAGGTAAATATGACTCAACATTTTTTTAAATTTGTGGTAATGTTAAAACATAACACAACTAAGTTAACACAACTCCAGACATTTTTTGGCTGAAATTTTCTTTCTTTTTTTTTTTTTGAGATGGAGCTTCATTTTGTCGCCCTTGGTAGAGTGCTGTGGCATCATAGCTCACAGCAACCTCCAACTCTTGGGCTCAAGTGATTCTCATGCTTCAGCCTCCTGCATAGCTGGGACTACAGGTGCCCACCACAACACCCAGCTATTTTTTAGAGAGGAGGTCTCGCTCTGGCTCAGGCTGGTCTTGAACCTGTGAACTTAGGCATTCCACCTGCCCTGGCCTCCCAGAGTGCTAGGATTATAAGTGTGAGCCACTGGGGCAGGCCTGGCTGAAGTTTTCTTTTCTTTCTTTCTTTTTTTTTGGGTGGGGGACAGAATCTCACTATGTCACCCTCAGTAGAGTGTCATGGCATCACAGCCCACAGTAAGTGACCTCAAACTCTTAGGCTTAAGTGATTCTCTTGCCTTAGCCTCCCGAGTAGCTGGGACTACAGGCACCTGCCACACGCCCAGCCATTTTTTGGTTGCAGTTGTCTTTGTTATTTAGCTGGCCCAGGCCGGGTTTGAACCCGTCACCTTCGCTGTATATATCTGGTGCCCTACTTACCGAGCTACGGGCACCACGCCCTGGCTGAAGTTTTCTATCTGAGATTTCCATAGGGAAAGGCATATATCAACATAAAATTTCAGAGGTGTTTACCAAAATTTTAGAAGATGTTTACCAAAAGATTAAGTATATAAGGAGGCTGAGATAGCCAGGAGTGGTGGCACATGCCTACAGTCTCAGCTACTTGGGAGGCTGAGGCAAGTGATATTGCCTGGAGGCTGAGGCAGGAGGATTGCTTGAGCCCAGGAGTTTGAGGTTGCTATGAGCTAGGCTGAGGCCATGGCACTCTAGTCCAGGTTACAGAGTGAGATACTATCTCAAAAAAAAAAAAAAAAAAAAAAAGGCTGAGAAATACTGAACTCTAGGATAAATCTTGGCCTCAATACAGGATAGAAGGCAAGGGCTTCTGGTCTTAACCTTTTTTTCCCCAGAAATTCACCTCCACAATCTCTTGCAATATTGGGCTTCCTGCTGTTCCGCTTCCCCTATTGGTCCCTTTCCCTTGTGGTAAATTTGCAGACAGGTAGTAAACCTCCATAGCTCAGTTAGTTTAAAAGCTATTTCCTCAGTGAAACTTTTTCTGGCACCTTGTTTTCTACTTCCACCATCCTCCTCCTCCCCAAGTTATTTTCCTTCCCTCTCTGACCTCTGAAGCTACCTATTAAGCCTCCATCACTGCAGGAATCACTCTAAATGTAATTATTCATTTAAGTCTTCAGATTCTAGATTAAATTCCTAGAGGGCTGAGCCTGTCGGATTCTCTCAGAGAATCTACCAAGGACCTGGTATAGAGTAGAGTGAGGGACAAAGGGTTGAAGAAGGAAAATAGGTCAATGGGACGGGTGCGGTGGCTGACGCCTGTAATCCTAGCACTCCCGGGAGCAAAGGCGGGTGGATTGCTTGAGCTCAGGAGTTCAAGACCAGCCTGAGTAAGAGCGAGACCTGGTCTGTAAAAACTAGTCGGCAAAAACAAAACAAAACAAAACAAAACAAAAACTAGTCGGCAAAAGGATCCTAGGCAAAAGGATCTCTTAAGCCCAAGAGTTTGAGGTTGCTGCTGTGAGCTATGACGCCACAGCAGTCTACCGAGGGCGACCAAAAAAAAAAAAGAAAGAAAGGATTAGCGAAGCGATGAACAGATAAACCCCATCTGAGGCTTAGGCTACCGGCCTAAATGCATAGCTCAGTACGATTGGCTCCTGCAGCTGTCCCTGCTACCCAGCCCCCAAGTCTCATCCTCACGTGGCAGCTTTAGGGGACAGGAGACCGGTCGGGAGAGACGAAGCGTGTTCCTTTTGGTCAATGTGCCGGGCCAGAGACCGAGGAAGTCCTCCCCAACTCTTTCTACCATTCCAAGCCCACTCTTAAAGGATGCGACCTGCTCTGCCTTGGTCGCGATAGACCCCAGTCTTAAGACAACCTCCCCTCCCCCGCCAAACTCGGAACCACGTTACCTGCGGCTCAAGTGAGTCCTGGGCCGTGGCTCCGCCCCTATAGGGGCGGGGCTTGAGGCCTTGCCCCTCCCCGCGGATTCCGGAAGAGCGACCGAACCAACCACTGCAGTCCTTCCTGAGGCCCGCCCCGCCCCGCCCCGCGGACCCCTGCGCTGCGTTGGCAGTGGTGTGGAGGGGTCTGTGTAGAAACTCGGTGTCGGCTAGGACCGTTTCTCCCGGGCCCCCCAGGGCTCACATCCCCTGCGGAGTAAATATGCTAGGGCTCCTTGGAAACGATTTACAAGCGAAATGCTGAGGATTGGGTGTCCGGTAGGGATAACCCAAATTCCTTCGGCAGTTGTATTTTCAGTTACAGCGGTGGTGAGCGGAGCGTGAGCTTTCTTACGCGTGCAGTCTGCCTGCGCAGTCTTTAGGTCAGTTAAAAGATTTGGTGCCTTAAGCAATTGACTCTTTCCATTTTTGCAGTTTGTAATTATGGCAGAGGCTAAGCTGAAGACAACACCCTGGCCTCCAGGTATGATTGTAAAGAGCGCAGGTAATAAAAAGTTCATCAAGAAGAGTATCTTTTCTTGGGGAAGTTACTTTTCTTTGGGCCTTAGTGTCGTCTGTAACCGAGATTTCTGTCAATAGTTGTGGGGAATATACAGGTTAAGGTAGTTAAAGTGCTCAGCATGTAGTGGCTGGGTGCCAAGCTAGTCCTCTGTCAAGGCTAAGGCTATTCTTGGATAAATAATGTCTCTAGACGTGCCAATCTACATTATCTCTGATCTAGTTCATAACAATAGGTTCCCTATGATTTTCCTGAAAATGGAGAAGGAGCTCACTTATGTCTATGTTTCAGAAAACCCCACTCACATTTGTGTCCTAGGAAACGCTGAGACTGGAAACAATTAGAGCTTCTAAAGTGCAGAGTTATATGATTAGTTGGAAGAGGTCAGATACACTTGGGTTCAAATCCAGACTCCAGCACTAACCATTTGCCTCTGATGTTTGTCAAGTTCATTACCCAACTCTAGTTTCGTCATCTATAGATTGGGAATAGTAATACCGATTGTGCAGAAAGAGCTGTTGAGGAATTGATAATTTGATAATTCCTCAATTGAGGAATTGATAATTGGAAAAAGACCAATTTGGTGAAAATAATCTTTATTTTTGGAGACAGAGTCTTCACTTTCAAAAGCCCTTGGTAGAGTGCTCTAGCATCACAGCTCACAGCAACCTCCAGCTCTTGGGCTTAGGTGATTCTCTTGCCTCAGCCTCCCGAGAAGCTGGGAATACAGAAGCCCGTCACAACGGTTGGCTATTTTTTGGTTGCAGTTTGGCCGAGGCCAGGTTTGAACCCACCACCCTTGGTATAGGGGACCAGTGCCCTATTCACTGAGCCACCTGACAAGAATCTTTTAGTTACTTAAAACCATAACCAAAATATACTGACAAAAGGAAATTCAAGGTCTGCAGTTCTCCTCACAGCTCAGATATCCTATTTAAAACATGTGGAGTTGGGTGGTGCCTGTGGCTCAAAGGAGTAGGGTGCTGGCCCCATATGCTGGAGGTGGTGGGATCAAGCCCAGCCCTGGCCAAAAACTGCAAA